ACAAAATGGGCATATAGTGTCCGGATGCGGAGGGTGCCTGCAGTCAGGAACGGAGGGACAGTCCTCTGCACACATGGATGCAGAAACCATGTCATTGTAGTGATTGTGGCAGAGACAATGGCGGCTACAGCCGAGTGTAACAGTGTTTATGCCTGTGCAAAGGAGAAGGTCGCAGAGTGTTGGTACATTGTCTTGCTGCATCACGGGGCCAGAGGAATGCGGAGGGTGCCTTCAGTCAGGAACGGAGGGTCAGTCCTCTGCACACATGGATGCAGAAACCATGTCATTGTAGTGATTGTGGCAGAGACRATGGCGGCTACAGCCGAGTGTAACAGTGTTTGTGGCTGTGCAAAKGAGAAGGTCGCAGAGTGTTGGTACATTGTCTTGCTGCAGCACGGGGCCAGAGGAATGATCTTCGACATAAAAGAGATTGTGGACAGTTTGTTGTGGCAAGAAAACAGCATCATTTTGTAAGAAATCAGTGACACCAGTCATGGCATGGACCATGGTGCCGTTGTCCCACAGCTCCCAGTGGTCAGAGGCATGTACAATGGTCAGCATGTACAATGGTCATGTAATGGCCAGGCCTGCGCACAATGCAGGCAGAGATGTGGGATGGAGGATTAAACCACTCACCTGCTCGAGCATTGCATAGTTCAAGTCGACGGTCCCTCGTTGCTACTTGCAGAACAGCAATGGTAAAGCCTCCTTCGCTGGTATTATTACAATCCTCTGGCTGTAGTTGTGGAAGATCAGCATCAAGCTGAAGGGCGATTGCAAGGAAGTCTGATGGTGTATAAAACGGGCGGTGGAGAATGTGAAGACAGATATTAGTTGCTGTCAGAACACATAGATTGGTGAGATTCTCAGGCTGGTTTGTTGGATGCTGGCCACAATTTGCAGATCACCCAGATGGTGAGGCAAGGCCAAACTGTGGTCAGTCATTTGCAGATCGCCCATGTGGTCTGCGCATGGCGGAGCACAAATTCGTGGTTCATCCGAGCAATGCTGGTCAGCCATTGGCAGATCCCCCACGTGGCCTACGCCTTGAGGTGGTCAACTGCAATCCGGGCAGATCATGTTCCAGTCCCTCAATGTTTAGGGCTGCACCCTGAGTAGAGACTGTACCTGGAGTCGGGAGTGTACTCTGGGCAGGGACCACATCGTGTTGTACAGGTGAGTCGTGAATATCTAATGCTGCAGGGTATAAAACATGGTGCCGTGGCTGCTTGCGGGCAGCTGGACTGTCAGCGGGAGGCATAGGAACGGATATTACCGTTTGAAACAAAGGAACGCAGCAACCTGTGGAGGAGGCACAGAGAGAATCGGGGCAGACAAAGAAATAGGTTGCTGATCCCCGGACAAGTGACGATGCCGCGGATGTTGTCAGCGATACACATCAAGAGTAGTGTTGCAGACAGAAGATGAACTTGTCCCTAGCAACAAACGTGGAACAATGGGAACAATTGAAACTGGAGAGTGTGTTCGCAAGCGAGACCATGG